TTCTCTTGCCAGCTACTGAAGACCTGTCCTGACTACAGCTATCAACGTAGTAAAAAATCCATCCATCCATTTATTTTCCGTCATGCTTATCCCTGCTGGGGCAGTGAGGGGTGCTGGTGCCTATCTCCAGCTGTCAATGAGCGAGAGGCGGGCTGACAGATATAGTCCTGTCGGCTCATAACTCTAAAGTCAGGGTCACAGTGGTTCCGTATGACTTTTTAATCACAGATCAGATTATTTTCCACGTCACACTGATTGCATATAGAGGCTCCATCTGCGCAGGGTGAGCAGATCTGTGCATATTTTTTTTCCACTTCTGTCTCTGTGCCACACATATTGAAACAATTTCCCATATTTGACTGGGACCCGTTATGAAAAGTTATTAAAAATAAATGAAAAAAAAAGAAAGAAAAAAAAAGCAATGGGCGCCACTACAAAGCAAAGCCTCATTTTATAAGTCTGTGTATCATCTCTTAAACTAGAGCAGAAAGCAGAAAGATAACTTTTATAGGCCTATAATAAACATTTAATGGGAAGTACCTTAACATAGCTATAAAGGCTGTGGGATGGTGTTTTTTTTCCTAGCTGAGGCATTAAGAGGTGATTCTCAGTGAGTGATCTGTACCTTTTCTTGAAGTTTTTTGTCGAAGTTACAAGCTGCACAAGTTACAAGCTGTTACAAGCCTTAACGAGCCAGCCAGCCCTGTTCGCCTCTAAAGCGAAGGAACCAAAGCAGGAGATTGGAAGAGCCCGCCAGGAAACAAAGCACTGGAGCAAGGAGGAGGCTGGGATTTGGCAGTACTAGTTAATGAGGAAAGTGAAAGAGCGCAGCTGTAGTTTGGAGAAGCCCACCACGGAAACATTGCCAGAGCAAGGAGAGGATAACTGGCCAGGGGCCAGCTATAGAGGCTGTGAAAGATTGTAGGAGGATAAGTCCACCAGGCAGACAGCAACATTAAAGGTTGGGGAGAGGCTGCTGGTGGCCCATATGAGGAGAGTGATACATTGGAGAATTCTGTCAGGGAGATTACTGCTGGCCTGGGCTAGCTAAAGGCTAATTACACTATCTGGGTGGATGATTTATGTATCTAACTATTTTCATGATCAAATGTTTTTTTGTATAGGCAGTTGACATTATTTTGTACATTTGTATGAATAATTTGTATGAATCCATTTCAGAATATACAGTAAATGAAAGTGCCATTCACTCTTTCATACCACCTGCTAGGACTACTGCGACTCTGACTACAGCGGGATTGACCAGACAGTTCTCAGTTATTTTTTAGCTTGTCTAAAATGCTAGCTGGGAAGTAAATATTCAGTATTTTTTATGCACCAACCTGAGTTTGCAATTACCAGTCTGGGAGAGGACTGAGGCATGTATGCAGCATTTAAATATCACACTTATTCAATACATGTCTGGTGTGCACTTAATTGTGTCAAATTTGGCTCTGCCAGCTTTGCTCCTGATCATCCCCTTCTCCGCAAGTACATGCTTTACCCATATGTTTTAATTGTCTTATAATTCTGGGGAGCTTCAGCCTTAGACCAAGGTTTTTAGGGCAATATTATATTGTTTTCATGTTTGTTTTACTAATTTTACTGTAACGTGGCGTTTTTACCACCTTTTACTTCTAATGCGTTATCATACTTTTTATCCTTTTATCACTTTGGCCACACTGTTGTTTTTAATAGTGATAGTTAGCTAAAGCGGACAAATTTATTGTTTGTCAGAGTCATTAATTGATTGATTGATAAAAATTTATGAGAATAAAAAACCCCATAAAACTTGTAACATTTTTCTTTTACCCTAGAAAATAAAAAGTTAAACTATTTGCATTTGCCATTCTCTACAAGTAAAAATTACGCTGCTGTATTTAAAAAAATATAACGCTGAAAATTTCATTATTACCTTTTGTTGTTAGTAACAGTTACCTAGTCTTTTAAGCACAACAGTTCTTAAATTCCTGTTATTGATTGGGTGTGAGAAATTTGCAAGGACATGTTTGGAATGAATGGAATTTTTATGTAGATTGGATATCATCCAATTTCGTTTTGGTTTTTTTGAGAACCTGTTGTTAGGGAGGCACATGATGAAAGTGACAAAGTAATTTATGTTCCTGAACATGATAGGTTTCTCTTTCTGTTATGTTTTTCTTTTGATATTCTGATTTGCTTTGCTCTTTTTTTTCGATAGGTTTTTATGCTCTAATTTTTATTTTGCTGTGTTCTCTGGTTTATTCTGAGTTACTGTTTCAGTCTTGGCTCTCTTTTGTTTTTCTTTTGAATTTTCAGTTGTACTTTGCTCCATGCTCTCCATTTTCTTAGTGGTCTAATTCTTATTTTGTTGTGTTTTCTGGTTATTTTCACCTTTCTATATTTTTTATTTGTTGCCCTCTTGTGTTCTCCTTTGTCCTTTGCTCTTTTCCTCTCCTGCCCTGTGCTCACCTGCTCCCAATCTGCTCATTATTCTTCTCTTTGTCTCAGTCTCCTTTAAATGCTCTCCCTCTACAGTTCTTGTTTGCTGGGTCCTCATCTAACTTCCTCCAACTCCTTCTCTCTGAGCCTTCCTCTTCTAGATTGAATCCCCCTAATGTCTCCATGGTTTCTGGTTTGTTTTGACTTTGTTTTCATGTTTTTGATTTTGGGATATTTGGTATCCTGCACAGCAAATCCAACATGCTCAAATTAACACTGTCAGATTTGATTTTAACACTCTTGAAGTGTCTATATGGGTCCACACCAGAGAGAGTTAATTTGACTCTTTTTGGAGAGTTGGCACCGTAACTCTTATTTAGTGTTAAAAAATAAATCTTTTTGGAGTTGATAATTTAACACTTAATTACACCAACTCGGTGTTAGAATTGGAATATTAACACTCTCATGGAATGTTTTCCTAACTACATAGGAGTTATTCTCTAAAACTAAATGCTGAAAATTGTACTTTTCTGAACATATAAAAATCCCTTGGGAAAAATAAATAAAGAAAGAAGCAATGTTTGTTCTTTTCAGCAAATATTTATTCCAAAAGTGCACCACAATTAGAAAATGTTTTTTTCAAAACCTGTAACAATGTGGAACAATATACATGTTCTCACTTTTATTAGAATATTGCCTGGCAAAAGGTCTGACATTGGTGAGCTTCCTCAACAGAACAAATTATTGTTTGAACAGCACTTTCAGAAAGACCAGAAGCTTGTAAGTGAGCAACAACAGATCCACACATTCCAACAAGTGACTTCTGTGTAGTAACAGTGGGAGTCTGTGACATAGATAGAGAAGAAGATGACTGATCACTTAACAGTTCTTCTTGAGAATGACTGTCTTTGACAACTTCCTGTTGTGTCTGTACCTGTCTATAATGACTATGTACAGTGTGAAGATGTTTTCTAAAGCCATTGTAAGTACAGAACGACGAAAAAAATCCCTGTTCTCCACATTTTAAACGCAGATTTTTAGCTGGATATAAACCATGACATAATTTTAAATGTTGACAAAGAACTGAACAATTTTTGTGGTGCATTTTACAAACAAAACATAAGAAAATTGTCAAAACGTATTTTTAAACTCCCCTACAAGCTTTTGGATCTTGGGGGATTTTAACGCTCTCTCAGCAGACGTGCTCTCAATTCCTTGACTCGTGGACTTTCTTTTGCACTTCCAACATCAATATTGTAGATTGTGGTTTGAATAAATGTGTAAAAACTGCAAAGGGCCTCATCGTAAGACAGACTGAAGACAAAGTGTGCTTTGAATAGCCCATCAAAAGCAGCCACTGATGTTGGAGCATCACAGGGGATAGCTCTCTGATCCACAACAATGAAGAACCTCTGAATGTTGTTCTTTTGCTCACCGATGCAAAGAAGGAAAGGTTGTCTGGTGTCCACTTTCTCCAGGAAAGTAGTAAGGCTGACTCCTTCCTGAAATTTAGATGGCAAATATCAGTCAAAAGTACAGACACACAATATGAGGACTACCTTCCTTTTGAAACAAAGCCCTTACAGATTTTGTCTCTCCCTTTTTATAATCTTAAATACAGGATTATTTAACGTAAAATTCACCAAAGGTGACTGTAACACTATAACAAACTAGTGTTGCATAATGATAAAACAAAAAATCATTACTTCCAATAAGTGTTAAGGGTGCATACCTTGACAAATCTTATGAGATGATTGGCTGCCTGTGCGGAGCTAATCTTTGCAGTTTTTTTGTGGCCTCTAGATGTGGGGGGAAGGAGATGCAGCAACAGCAGAAGAGCTGCAATGTCACTATCCCAGCCTTAAAGGTAAAAAAGCAAATTGGAGAAAAAATGAAGTTAAACAGATACATTTTTTTAAAGCTTATTCAAAAACCAAATATGCCTAAATCACTTAAGATATATTTGATTGCAGTTTACAGTACCGCAAGACAAAACGTTTAATATTATTCCTTTATATATTAAAACACTACCCAAATTTACCAAAGACAGATGGATGTTCCGGGTTAACAGAAGCTTGTAACTCTTCAACACAGGGACTTGATGAAAGACTTTGGCTTTCTGTGATGACTTTTTGCTTGAAATATGAAGGCCACTTTGTGAGAAATCTTCGAGAAACTTCATCCCCAAACATCATCGAGAAATCCTGATCAATCTTTTAAAAAGAAAAAACAGACACCAAATGCTGCTTACCAACATGTTATTTGCACTATTTATGCATTAGTGCCTAAATGCATCATAAAATATGAAGAAACACACTTACCAACCCAGGTGTATCAAGAAATCTAGGGAAGACATCCAAGACTGATGATGTTGCATCTGGGTCATGAACCAGCTTCTATTGATATTCAAAGGTGGCTCTCATCTTCTCTTTAACCACAGCCTTATCCATTGAGTGTCTAATAACAGACAGAGCCTCTCTGAGGTCCTCGCCGAAGAGCTGTTCACCAACCATCAAAGATTCTCTTTGGGTTGTTGGACTGTCCTTGAAATTTGTCCTTGGACCCCCACGTGCACCATCGTAGGTGTTACGTTGGACAGTCTTGAGTCTCCAAGCAAGATAGCCACTGTTGGCCTCAGGGTTATAGTAATGTTCCTGCACATAAAAGGACATCAGGCATAATCAAAATTACACAAAGGGACACTTATTTGTCAAAAGTGTAATAACATGGCAAAATTACATATATGTGGAGTTTCAGACAGAATACATACATAACCATTTTTTGAGTATGGATCCTGAAGATATGGAAAAAGAGTTGCAATCCCCAGGGCATAGTTAGTCCGAACACTTATGGGTGGGATCCTCCTTTTGAAAACAAAAAGAAGTATCACTACTCTGGTCAGTGAATACTGATTTCTTTGATCATCAAAAGAGTTATACCCATGAGATTCTATCATATCTGCGACCAGTATGTTGACCATTTGCCGATGAGTTGCATCTGAGAGCGTTTTAGTTTTGTCATATTCGTTGAAGATTTCTTCACCCTTTGGGTTTGACCTCAGGACTGTATACACCATCTGTAAAACAAAAATACATATTCTGATTAACCTCTAGTAGCTGGCCCAAAGGCTACTGCTTTTAAAATTAATATCAACACCAATAACTGGCTATAGGCTTTGCTTCTGACCTGTTTTGCATCATCACGATCAAGCTCTTCTTGGCCCTTTTTTCTGTCCTTTGTACTTTTGAGGATAAGAGTTGAATCCGAAGAACAAGAAGAAGCAGGGGATGAGGAATGGTCTGACAGAGAAACTGATGATGTTGGAGTGACAAGAGGGGTGGCCTGCACTGATGATTGTAATTCATCTTCAACCAAACTGATCTCAATATCTAGAAAATAACACCAAAAATCCATGTGCATAAATTACAATTAGACTAATGCACAACAAAATAATTGTTTTTGATATGTATTCAACAGTATTCTTTAACTCAAAGAAAGAGCCTTGGGTAGGATTTTTGTTTTTTACATTGCACCAATATTCAAATATGAATTAAACATCATAAAGGAATTTACTCCAGATTATTATGAATCAGTTTTACCTGTTGCTAGCTGCTTTCGGTATCCAACCCTGAAAGCTTGAACCCCAGACCTTAGAAGTTCATCAAAAATGTCTGAGTCAACTTCAGTGTCCAAGGTATCAGTCAGGACGAGGACACCTTCTGTGAAGAGCTGAAGCTCACAGCAGAATTTAGCCGTTACTGAAAAAAAGAAAACTGAAATTAAATTTAACTAAAACATCAAATAAAGCCTTACTATGAATTAGCAACATTGGAGATTATTTTACACCACTTTAAATTTCATATGAATACAAACCATCTTGAAGAAACTGGGAGTAATGAAAGCATTCATCACTTTGTGGAACTTTAATGTACTTCTGCACTCCCCTATATTCCACCTTTACAAGCATCACCTGTGAGGACATTTATAAAGATTATTTTTGCACTACTGAACTACATAGACAATCAGTAAATTAATTGTTACTTCTGTAAAGCCAGTCATATACTATAGTTACAAAGATCACTAGTTAGCTAAACATGATTAGGCTATCACCGAAGCCATGTAGCTAATGCAACGTAGCTAATGTCTATCACAGGGCTCTATTTTGACTCAAACAACGCCATAGAGTTAGAAAGCAAATAAAATATTTAAACCATCTGAGAGAAATTACTTACCAGGCTGGGTAAACAGGTCTGATAACAGTAAATGGAGACTGAAGTTTTGCTCAGCTTCGTTCAATACCTGTAGCATTGGAGGCGGAGTCTGTGAATGTACTCTTTGGGTGTCAAATCCACTGTAGGAGTTCAGAGTTGATAGACGAAGTGTTATTTTTTTCCATTTTAACACCTCCAGATTTAGTATGCAACACTATTTATTTAACACTCTGTTTTAACTCGTAATATGTGACACCTCAGGGTTATATTTGTTTAATATAACTCTATTAAGAGCTAAATTAACACTGCCTTTGAAGAAAGTCTACTAACACCATATTATTTAACACTTTTGAATTTGCTGTGTGGTTTTCAGTTTGTTTGGTCTTAGTTTTTCATGCTTGGATTTTTGGATTTCCCGCCTCTGTTTTCTGTTAACCTTTTATTAAACTCAAGAAAATCACCTCTACCTCCCTGCCTCTGCATTTTGGGTCATCTATCTACTACCAAATCATGACAGAACACTGGAATTGGAAGGCTGCCCACAGGGCCGGTTCTAGCCCTTTGGTTGCCATAGGCGAGATTGAGTTTTGCGCCACCCCATCACCCCCCCAACACACACACACACACACTTTTGCCGTGCGAAATACCAGTACTGTTTTCAGCATCTGTTTAGTGCTTCATTGAGTTGTGTTTACAGTTCCACAAAGAGTGCTGTGCGGTGAATTGCTATAAGTATTAATAGTTTTAGAAATTGTGCTATAAGAATCAAGGTTGTGTTTAAGCATTCAGAAAAAAACTGTAACTTAGCATGGAGTGATGCATAGACAAATACCAGAATAGGTTTCAGTACCTTTTCTTTTTTATTATTTTAAATAATTTATTACACACTCAAAGTTAGGACTGTGCAAAAACACTTTTAACCATCTGTAAGGACACTTAGGTAAAGTATAACTAAAAAACTGGATTGAATCATTGAATGAATTTATTTCAGACAATTAACAAATTTAACACACATTAAACAAATATTAAATAAATCAATTTCAGAAATTACCAAATAACAATAAAAAATAATAAATTTAAGAAATTCTTCAACCAAGGACTACATAAAAAAGTAATTGATAAACATTAAATTAAATTTTCTGTTCCAGTTCAATTAAATCATTTGAACATAAATAGAAATGAGATAAACAAAATGTTCCTCTAAATAAAATATATCAGGTATATTTACCCTGATTTCTGACATTGATTAGTGATTAAAGAAAGGATTAAACCTCTACAAACAAAAGTGCTTTTATGAATACCATTACAAAATTAAAAGTTTGAAGTTGTTGTTTTTTTTTTGTTCACATATTCTATGATGAACAGCCATAACTTCATATATTTTGATGATCATTTGTACATCCCTTTTGAATACTCAATGCAGATAATCACTACAAAATATTTTATTTATATTAGTATCTTCTACCCATTCTCAAGCTAATAATATAGCACATAATTCTGCTGCATATATACTGAGAAAAAAATGATGTCAACATTAATTAATATTTATTGATATCGATACCTTTATCGATACTCCTTATCGATCCGAGTCTTTATCGATACCACTATCGATACTTTTCTGTTATTTGGTGGAAAGACGATGCAACAAAATTTTTTTAACAGAACTGGTATTGCTACTATTGCTTAACAAGTGAGCATAACCAAAACGTTTCTAGCCTTCAATAAACATGGCTAATGTAATAGGCCACTTCGAAATGACGTAAAACTAACTAGAATATATTTTCACAATTGTTGGTTAATGTATTGTCTACTGTCACTTTTCATCATGTTTTTAGTGATTAGGAAAATATTTAACAAATAAATAATTGTATTTTAAATTAAATGTAATTTTTAATAAATGTTGGCATCAGTAGTTTAATTATATATAGAGCAATATACAACTGTATTACTCATGTTTCTCGCCAAAAACAAAATTTCCCGTTTTCTTTACGTTACACTTGAACGCATCATGATAACCTAATTGTCGTTTTACTGAGCCAATCTGAACACATCATCACGCAGCACGTCTGAAACTTTATTTACTTTTCAAGCTAACTAGCTTGTATGCTTCCGATTACAAGACGGATTTCACAATTAATATTTTTAACTGACCGGACAAGCTACAAAGTCTGTGTGCGCTTACCAGTGGTACTCTGAGTGGATGATTAAGACGGGCCCGACTGCGGCGGCAGGAGGAGGAGGAGGAGTCTTTTCCGTTCAGCCATTCTCGAGTCGCGAGCAAAGTTAAGTGCCAGACTTCACTTGTTTTACTTTTAATATCTGTTTGCTTACAATTTCATTCCAAAATATTGGTGTACATGCTGCAGTGATTGACGTCACGACTTCCGGGTTGGAGGGCGCTTGAAAAGTGATCAGAATCTTTTCCGATTTTCTCTTAAATGTGAAAAAATAAATTAAAAAACGGTGGTATATTTATTTGTTCATATTTTGCTATTTATATATACAGTACGTAAGGTTAAGTCAAACTGACGGACGCTTCATAACCGGTTTAATTCGCTTTTTTTTCTAATTCTATGATTAATGGGAAGTAAGCCTAAGGGCGACGCTAGAGGGCGCCCCCAACACATTTGTCGCCCTAGGCAATTGCCTAGCTCGCCTATAGCAATCGCCGGCCCTGGCTGCCCATTCCAACCCCAGATGAATCCCTAACCAAACTGGCCTTTCTCTTTATAGTTTAGCAGATTTAGGGCTGTGATTGCGATAGTCCTGGACCTGTTACTTCCGAAGGTAAACTTAGAACACAACTACCGTATTAGAAGGCTTGATCTGAACTACATAAATTAGATTGTGTTACTGGGAGGTGGGAAACAACCAAAGTCCAATAGCGGCTGGTGAGGAATATAAGTAACATAAATAATCTAAGGGCCTTCTCTTCAAATAAATTAAAATAAAAAGAACAAAATTGCAGGTGTGCAGGCAGAAAGAGGGCATGTTGCATGATTTGCTATAAAAATCATATAATCAATGCGTGCAATGGCTAAGCTCTGCAAACAGGTTCTAGTTGCCCTTCTTAAATGCCCTACTTAAATGATCAAATGGAATGTGCTAATGGCAATTTGAGGCTGGCCTTAAAAGAAGGATAATGTTCCAAGCATTCGTGTGGGAGGTTGTAATGATAATTATTTCATAGGATATTGTTTGCCAGAAAGCAGTCAAAGAGGGCTGACCTAATTTTCCTATCAAAATGTTGAGGAAACATTTAAAAGAATTCTTTATTCTGGGTCGTGATAAAGCTTGCCAGCTGTATCACGACATGCTTAAAGTGACAAAGTCATTTATGTTCTGGAACACTGAAACTTGAAGGCTGCTCATTCCAACACCAGATAAATTCCTAGCCAAGCTGGTGTATCTCTTTATAGTTTAGCAGATTCAGGGCTGTGATTGCGATAGTCCTGGACCTATTACTTCCGAAGGTAAACTTAGAAAACAACTACAGTATTAGAAGGCTTGATCTGAACTACATAAATTAGATTGTTTCACTGGGAGGTGTGAAACAACCAAAGCAGCTGGTGCGGAATATAAATAACATAAATAATCTAAAGGCCTTCTCTTCAAATAAATTAAATAAAATAAAAAATTAAGATAATTAAAATAAGATCTGCAAACAGGCTCAGTCAGTAGTAGCAGAGGGTTTATACTCCTAGAAGCACTGATAGTAGTTAACCGTAGCTAACTCAACTTCGCAGTCATTTTTGTTTGGATTGTTGGAGGTGCTGGGCAAAAACAATGCCTGGGTGTATGGAGCCATTTCATTTACAATGCGAAGGACAACAAAACAACAATCTACCAGTTACTAGCTTGTGTGTGTGTGCCTTCCTGTTCCTGTATCTTTCTGGCTCTCTGTCATAGAAGAAACATTTTCTACTGCTACACTGAATATTTATCGTTTAAATTCCTTCCTCCCCACTACATACCAGACACAGTGACACCGCAGCCAAATCAGACGTTGGGGAAGGAAGGGAAGTCTTTTGCAGAGATGTTGGGAGCACCCCAACTGTACCTGACACCAAAGAGCAGTAAGCCCTGGAGAACTCAATGGCAAAGTGGATTGGCCGTTCTGGCCTGCCTGCAAGGACCATTGAGGATGAAGACTTTGTGCATATGATGAAACAAGCTGACAAAAGGTTCAATGTGTACAGTGTGATATATGTTAAAAAGAGAACCAGAGTGTGGAGAAGTTCTATTCTGCACAGTGTTATATAAATAAAATACAGAAAAAGAGAATCAGTGTGTGGAGAAGTTTTATTCTGTTCATTGTGATATATATGTTAAAAAGTGAAACAGTGTGTTGAGAAGTTCTAGTATTTACAGTGTTGACTAAAAAGACTAAATTTGATTTTCGTCATAGTGACTAAGACTAAATTGGGAAGGCAATGACTAAATGTGACTAAGATTAAAATAGATTTTCGTTAGTGTGACTAAGACTAAGGCTAAATTTAAAAAAGCTGGCGAAATTAACAGAGGTCGTCCCCTGGGATTACTTCCTGGAGGAGATGGAGGCCAGCCCCAGATGTCTTTCAGCTTCCAATCCCACTGAGTGGAGCCAGTATCTCCCGTGGGTTGAGTATGCCCACAACGCTCATGTTTCTGCTGCCACAGGACTCTCCCCTTTCGAGGCCTCTATTGGCTACCAGCCTCCCCTTTTTCCCAGCCAAGGAGGCTGCCATTGCGGTGCCTTCTGTTCAGCATCACATCCGCCGTTGCAGAACCTTCTGGAACAGAGCCATGACTGCCCTTGGTAAATCTGCTGAACAGAACCGAAGGTGGGCAGACCGCAAGAGGAGGGTCGCCCCTATGTTTTCTCCGGACCAGACGGTCTGGCACTCTGCCCGGGACATCCCATTAAAGGCCATGTCCAGAAAGATGTCTCAACGCTTCACTGGTCCTTATGAGGTGGAGAGGACCATTGGAGCATCCGCTGTCCGTGTTCGTCTTCCCTCCACTCTACGGATTCACCCCGCCTTCCACGTTTCTGAAGTCAAACCCGTTGTTTCCAGCCTCTTGTGCCCACCCACTGAGCCCCCTCCCCCCTTGGACATTGATGGCCACCCCGCCTACACGGTCCGCAGCATCGTTGATGCCCGTCACCATGGGCATGGGTGGCACTACTTAGTTGATTGGGAGGGGTACTGTCCTGAGGAGCGCTCCTGGATCCCTGGCTCTTTCATCCTGGACCCCTCCCTCATTAGGTACTTCCGCCTTTCTCAGCCCTCCTGCTCTTCTGGACCGCCGGGTGGCGGTGGTTGAGGGGGGTACTGTTAAGAATCCAGTTTTGTGCGGTCTGCATTGTGTTTTTGTGTTGCTCTCTCCCTCCACCACCAGGTGGGGCCCTGTTCTCGTTGGTCCTCTTATACACCTGCGGCTGGTTGGCTCATTACTAAGGACTATTTGAGCGGTGGACTGTCACAACCTCGACGCCAGAGTGTTTGCCAGTTTTGGGTACTCTAGCCAAGCTGAGTTTAGCTGAGTCTTTGTTTTCACTGAGCCTTACCTTGTTTTTTTGGTTTTGCCTTTTCGGCAGAAGGCCTTCCTGCAAGCTGGATGTTTGGCCTTCTTCCCCTGGAAGGATTGTTTGAGTCTCACACTGAGCAGGGGATTAACCTCCACAAGTTCCGTTCAAGTCCTCCTGGATTTCCAAGAGACAGCCCGCTCAATAGCTCCTCAGGATCCAACCAAGTCTAAACCTGTCCGCCCTCCAACGAGTCTTTACCTCTGGATAAACCCACACTTACTGGATTCTGGGAAGAAAGTCTTCTCCACTAATGTGAGCCCATTTTTCTCTCCAGCCATCGCTCAGTTCCGGTTCACCAGCACACTGAGTTTCCTGAATCCAACAGTATGAATAAACCTGTTAAAACTTTTACTCTGGTTCTCTGAGTGGTTTACTGCATGTGGGTCAGATCTCTTAAGAAAATCATGACAAGTAAAGCTAGCGGATGGTTTTATTATGTGTGGCAAATGTGGAAACAATGATCTTATCCTGAATGTGACTAAAGACAAGGGAATTGACTTTAGATTTTGGTGGAAAAAAAAATCAAATTTTATTACCAACTAAAGAGAACTTAAGGTGGTGGAGTATAAATACCTATGTGATTGAGACTTGACTGGAAACACAATTATTAAGATGTGTACAAAAAAGAAAATAAAATAAATATACCTCTGGAAGAAGGTTGGGTCCTTCTATGTATATGCATTATGGCAGATACAGGGCCTTCTTAAAAAATGTTGGGTTTTCTTGAGCTGTATGCCAAAATCATCCGTATTAAGACAATAAAAGACCTGAAATATTTCAGTTAGTGTGCAATGAATCTAAAATATGTTAATGTTTAAGTTTTATCATTACATTATGGAAAATAATTAACTTTATCACAATATGCTCATATTTTGAGAAGGACCTGTATGTCCAGCAGCATCAAAGCAAATAACTTAAAGAAGCTAAATAAGCTAATAATGTCAGGTCCTTTCCAGGAAATTCTCTAGGAAGATGATTTTCCAACTTCTTAAAATGAAAAACAACAATCCTCTATATACAGTATATCCACTTTAGAAGCTTCAGTTTTCCAGATCTGCTGTTGAACGGACCACTACAGGAGATCCCTCCTGCCAACCACTATTAACATTTTGTTGAACAAATCATATAATATTCACAAAATGTAATTTCCTTTGGGATCAATAAGGTATTTATGGTCTGAATTAAAATAACACTCAGTTTTTGCATGGCTCAGTGGTCTCATGGTTTTGTTCAAGTTTTATCTCTAAGTTTTCATTGATCTTATTTGTCATTCTGTTGTCTAGGTGTTTTTGATTGTATTTGTGTTCTTAGATATTTCCTGCTTGCCTTTTTGTGTCAGTCTCCTTTCCCTAGCTCCCTTCTTGCCTCTCTCCACACCTGCTCCCAATCTGCTAATCAGCATGGTCTTTGTTTCTCTCTCCTCCTGCTCAGTCACTCTTTGCTGGTTTGTTGTCATTACTTTGACCCCTTCTTGTTGGGAGTATTCTTGGTTTTCAGCATTTTTGGTATTGCATGGATTTATGTGTTTAGATTTTTGCTTCTGTTACCCTTTTTATTATTAAACATTCAAGTAACCACCTCAAGCTTTTGTCTGCATTTGTGTCCTGTCAAATCACCTTCTCTGTGACAGGTTGGAGTTTGAAGAGAATGACCAAATAGTCAGGGGTCTCCCAAAAACGGAGTGAAAAATCAGGATTCTAGGGGCCTTTGATTGGCAGCAGCCCAGAGAGGGCGTTTATAAAATTATAATACTGGAAAAAATGATTTGACACACATTTATTGTATTTAGAATGTATTGGATACACTTTTAAAACAATGTAGATATAGCCCTTTTGTCACTGTCTTCCTGGTTGCTTATTTCTTTTCATAACAGCTTTATCATTTCATACATTCCTGCTCTTCTTTTAAGCTCTCTAAGGGCTCAAATGAAAGCTCAAGATTTTAGCTTGGAATATGAAGCTACAAAGAAAGCTAAGGTTACAATCTGAAAAAAATTTTTGGAAAAAAAGTTTTAATACTGAACAGTTACAGACTAGCACTAGATACTTCCTGACTGACAGCCTTTTAAGTTATAAACTGAAACCAGTTGATTCAATGGCAGACTTAAAGCTACAGTGTGTAACTTTTAGCGACATCTAGCGGTCAGACTGCAGACTGCAGCAAGATGAACATCTCCCCCCCACCGCTTCTCCCCCCCAACAGTACGGCGAGCGTTACGGGACAAAATGTCTTCCACGACGTCCGCATCACCTACCTTCTCAAGTGATGAGGTTTGTTTACATAGATAATTTTACAGATAGTATTTCATTAGTCTGTGTAGGGTATAGATTTCATGTAGACTTAAGATAATAAATATACCCGTTAATTTTTCTACATTGTTGTGACGTTTTGGCGATCTCGCAATCGCTAGTTTGTTGGCTCTGGGCTGCCGTAGCGCAATGATGTCTGCCTCCATGGCTGCGAGACCCGCTCCTATGTAATTATAAATAACGAATTCTAAGGCAACTCAAATATTAAGGTTAAGAGGCTGAGCTCGTAGATGATGATAAATAACATAGTTATGTATAATATATTACATTTCTGACTGTATATCCCTGTAATTATTACACACTGTAGCTTTAATAAGATTCAAGATGGCATAAACCATGGATATGAAGTCATGAAGATAAAAAATTATTAATCTAATTAAAAAAGATTCAATAAAAAACCCACAGAACATGAGTAAAAATTTCAAAATCTTTATTAAGCTAAAGATTCAAAATGCCCATTGGAGCACAAAAGCTGCACAAAAGCTGTCCAGCAACTCAACAAATTTACTTCTACCAGACATATTAAATGATTGTTTGCTATTTCAGGTATTATGCATGATGCATCTTATATTTGGGAAGACATTTGTTTTAAAGCTAAAAACAAATCATATTTGTAAAAAATATCAAAATAATCTAACTTTTTTTTTTTTTTACAAAGCGACACTTTAGAGTGAAAAGAAAATACACTTTTTTTCCGGCTGTAACTTTTAAAAATGTCTTAAATAGCCCCCTCTCAATAATCTTCTTCGTCCTCCTCCTCCTCATCTTCGTCCTCTCCATCACTGTCGTCCAAGAGGTGTGACTGGACAGCCAGTCGCTGAGCCACAGCTGCAACCATGGCAGCACCTTTTCCACTTCCGTCCTCTGAGACAAGAAAGCTGATTTCACATTTGGGGGCTAGGAGGCGCACTGCTGCCTGGAGCTCATCACTGAAACTGAAAACAAATAGATACAGATTTTAAGAGACTCAAAAGTACACTATATTGCCAAAAGTATTTGCTCACCCATCCAAATTATTGGAATCAGGTGTTCCAATCACTTCCATGGCCACAGGTGTATAAATTCAAGCACCTAGGCATGCAGACTGTTTTTACAAACATTTGTGAAAGAATGGGTCGCTCTCAGGAGCTCAGTGAATTCCAGCGTGGAACTGTGATAGGATGCCACCTGTGCAACAAATCCAGTCGTGAAATTTCCTCGCTCCTAAATATTCCACAGTCAACTGTCAGCTGTATTATAAGAAAATGGAAGTGTTTGGGAACGACAGCAACTCAGCCACGAAGAGGTAGGCCACGTAAACTGACGGAGCGGGGTCAGCGGATGCTGACGCGCATAGTGCGAAGAGGTCGCCAACTTTCTGCAGAGTCAATCACTACAGACCTCCAAACTTCATGTGGCCTTCAGATTAGCTCAAGAACAGTGCGCAGAGAGCTTCATGGAATGGGTTTCCATGGTCGAGCAGCTGCATCCAAGCCATACATCACCAAGTGCAATGCAAAGCGTCGGATGCGGTGGTGTAAAGCACGCCGCCACTGGACTCTAGAGCAGTGGAGACGCGTTCTCTGGAGTGACGAATCGCGCTTCTCCATCTGGCAATCTGATGGACGGGTCTGGGTTTGGCGGTTGCCAGGAGAACGGTACTTGTCTGACTGCATTGTGCCAAGTGTAAAGTTTGGTGGAGGGGGGATTATGGTGTGAGGTTGTTTTTCAGGAGCTGGGCTTGGCCCCTTAGTTCCAGTGAAAGGAACTCTGAATGCTTCAGCATACCAAGACATTTTGGACAATTCCATGCTCCCAACTTTGTGGGAACAGTTTGGAGCTGGCCCCTTCCTCTTCCAACATGACTGTGCACCAGTGCACAAAGCAAGGTCCATAAAGACATGGATGACAGAGTCTGGTGTGGATGAACTTGACTGGCCTGCACAGAGTCCTGACCTCAACCCGATAGAACACCTTTGGGATGAATTAGAGCGGAGACTGAGAGCCAGGCCTTCTCGTCCAACATCAGTGTGCGACCTCACAAATGCGCTTCTGGAAGAATGGCCAAAAATTCCCATAAACACACTCCTAAACCTTGTGGACAGCCTTCCCAGAAGAGTTGAAGCTGTTCTAGCTGCAAAGGGTGGACCGACGTCATATTGAACCCTATGGATTAGGAACGGGATGTCACTTAAGCTCATATGTGAGTCAAGGCAGGTGAGCAAATACTTTTGGCAATATAGTGTATTTTAGACTGTAACATATGAACTGTTTCTGTTTAGAGACATTTTGGTTTGCACTCCCTTCCTCTGGGGTCCATTAAAAAAAATAAAACATTGAATTTCACTGTTTCAAGGTCAACATCAAGTTCTATCTCCCAGTAAAAGCTTACAGCAGTCATTAAGTTGATAAACTGAGCTGTTTAAGAAACGGCAAAACATTATTTTAAGTGACATTTCTGTGACAAACTGAAGCACCCCCTAAGTGGCGAGAGGGATATTAAAAAAAAAAAGTATTAAAAACACTTTGCACTATTTAAACATTTCTTATGAATATTTTGAGAAATTATTTAGATTTTTTTGGTTTTTCTATTACGTGTATTTGGATTTTGATTTAATTATTTTGAGGCCTAATCAACACAAGTTCATGGAAGTTAAATTGTCATGGCAACGTCAAGCAAGCTAGAGCGGGGTATGCGCGTACGGCAGCAGATTAGTAAATTTACATAGTTTATCTCCGTAAGTCAGAGCGCACCCTGTAACCAGGCGGGGCACCCTGCCTGTAGCTCAAAGTAAGAGCATGGTCCGTCAGCGCACTTTAATATCTGTTCATGCAGTCTAACGTTACATAGTATTTTAGAGTGTTATTTTGTTCTTGGGTTCTTTGTGTAATGGTATAATAAAATAATAATTTCCTTATGATTTGTGTAAAAGGAGTTTGGAGCTAATAGTCACGTGTGAGATAAACACAGTGACTCAGGTTCATGCAAGCTGACCAAAGCTACATTGTTATAGTGTTATTGTGAAGTTTAATTAATAGTGTATATATTCACCTGAGAACTGATGATGTCTGTGTTTCACAGAACCTGGTTGCCTGCACTGTATGAAGGACCAACTCTGCCATATTTAAAAATAAATACAGAAATAAATAAATGCTCAATAAATGTATAAGCATACAATTAATTGCCAACAAAAAAGTGAGACATAAATGTATATAACTCTTAATTAGCTTCTTTATTTATTTGCCTTTGTAATATTTACCTTATTTATTTTTCTGTCCTTTATAATCTTCAACTTTATTTTTTAATTACTTATATTTTTAAGTATTTATTTATGTGCATGTTATTATATTTTTGTCTGTTTTATTCTTCCATTGTATTTTTTTACCTTAGTTATTTCTTCGCCGCTGTTTTTTCTCTCTGCCATTTTTACATTTCTCTATGCATTTCTATCTCATTATGCAAATGAGGAGGGGGTGTGTCCTAGAGAGTCAACTTCTGCTCATTGGTTGGCTTGGCGGTCCATCTTCTTAACTCACAGAGCTCAGAGTACTAAGTTAAATGTTCTCTTTTCTGTTGCTGTTGTTCAATAAAAGTACGTTTTAAGATCATTTGAGGCGAGAATATTATACTTTTAAGCATCACCATATGGCCCATTCACAGATTTAATGCGTAATTTAAAAGAAAATGTGACGAACTTGAGAGGACCGCGGCACCAGCGGAGCTCCGAAGCTGACGGCAGCCAGGTCCGACCACAGCCCATCTGCAGCGGCCCTCTCTCGGCATAGCCGTGTGTGAAGCGTGTTGGTTAGCATTTTACTACATCGGTCGAATCTACAGGAGGAGAGTCTGATGTCGAGTCTGAAGTCAGAACTTGAGTAGGGACTTTGCCAAACTTTGCCAAATACAACAAAAAATCGCCATCATAGCCTGGCTATAGACCTGGCTGCCGTCAGCTTCGGAGCTCCGCTGGTTGCCACGGTCCTCTCAAGTTCGTCACATTTTCTTTTAAATTACGCATTAAATCTGTGAATGGGTCATATGGTGATGCTTAAAAGTATAAGGTTCTCGCCTCAAATGATCTTAAAACGTACTTTTATTGAACAACAGCAACAGAAAAGAGAACATTTAACTTAGTACTCTGAACTCTGTGAGTTAAGAAGATGGACCGCCAAGCCAACCAATGAGCAGAAGTTGACTCTCTAGGACACACCCCCTCCTCATTTGCATAATGACATAGAAATGCATAGAGAAATGTAAAAAGGGCAGAGAGAAATAAACAGCGGCGAAGAAATAACTAAGGTAAAAAAATACAAAGGAAGAATAAAACAGACAAAAATATAATAACATGCACATAAATAAATACTTAAAAATATAAGTAATTAAAAAATAAAGTTGAAGATTATAAAGGACAGAAAAATAAATAAGGTAAATATTACAAAGGCAAATAAATAAAGAAGCTAATTAAGAGTTATATACATTTATGTCTCACTTTTTTGTTGGCAATTAATTGTATGCTTATACATTTATTGAGCATTTATTTATTTCTGTATTTATTTTTAAATATGGCAGAGTTGGTCCTTCATAGCACGGAAGTGTATATGACAATAAAAAAGTGAATCTCAATCCATTTACTTATTTTGTTTGATTGTATTATAAAAAGGCCTCCAGGCTATTAGGTTTTTTTTTTTGGACTAAAGACCAATGAGCCTATTTTGTATTTTAAATAGGCCTATAGGCTCATAGGACTTTTGTCCATAAAAAACAAAAAAAATGTTCACAGCACACCTAGTTATGTTACAACCCTATTATGTATTCACTACACATGTTGCGAGTTTCTTCTGGAATGACATCAGATTTTACTTAAAAGGGATATTGTATAACAGTTTTCGTAAGCGAAGAACTGGTTTGTAGTCTCCTGTTATATGTTCACTCATAGGCAGGACTAAAGTCATGCAGCCTGATTGATTGATTGATTGGTTGACTGACTGACTGATATGTCTGCAGAGAAGTAGACTTTCCCCTCCTTTGGCAGGCAGCCAATGGGTAAATAGTCATTAGTTTCTCTATGCATTCCATTTTCCCTTCTGTTTTTTTATTTTTTAATCAAAATATGGAGGTTCTAAGAAAAAAATAAGTCAAAACTCTGACTTGAAGAGTGGTTACTTTTCTCACTAGCACCAACCCTAAAAACCAGTATGGTTGCCACATGTATAAAACGGTAACAGATTAAGAGTAAATATTAGCATTTTACAGTCTCAGCTAGAAGAAATGGTGCCACAGTATTGCAACAAAATAAAAATCTAAAAAGTGATCAAAAATTATAACTTCTTATAATTAACTATGTCATCTTTTCTCTTACTTGGGATGTTTTCTATACACTGTCCCATCCACTCCTACGGTGGTCTTCAGGTGGTCTAGCCCTCGGTTGACACGAATACGGTTGGCGATTGTTGCCAAACCAGCAGCACAGAGACGAGCAGAGCGTGAGGAGATGGTGTCACAGACAAGTCGCACAACGCAGGCATCAACCAAATCCCACTTTAAATCCAGTTTGGTCAAAATCTTTTGGACATTTTCCAGACCTCTGTCAGGCCTGAACAAACAGGGAAAAAAAACCACTCCATATATGTTAATAAAAGTTTAGATGTGATCTTATTAAGAAAGAATCTAGAAAAAGAAAAGGACACTTACTCTTCAATTTCAGAAATGAACTTTGTCTCAAACCTCCCTGGAGTAAGCAGTGCCTCAGATGCCACCCCTTTAAACAACAGCTTCTCCTCTGTTAGCTTCCCTAGAACCAGCCGAACCACTTCCCCCAGATACATCCCACTGATCATCTTCTCAAAGCTGCAGAAAAACACATCTTCAGTAAAGTAGTAGATAAAAATATATTTTGCTTTAGTCTGTTGCCCTCCAGTGGCCAAATGTCAACGTGGGAACTTCATCTTTTACATGGCTCCAAAGCTAAGTAACTGAAATGTAATTGAAATTCAGGTTATGATACATGTAAGTATTACTTTATCTAAAGGTGAAGACAAACTGTGAACCATTGATTTCTTTGGTCATGAGAACATTGTCTGCATATTTATGCAAAAAAAGTGCCTCCTGCTATGCATGCGCAAACAGGTTTACTTTTTTAAATACAAGCAAACCTATAAAACATGATGCCCTTGGAATTTAGTAAGATGTGACCTCATTTCAGTTGATGATTTCCTATTAAATAAGTGTTGAGCTTTGATCTCATCCCAGCTGCAACTAAACATGCAGGTGTGGTGTTGAATGAGATATGCGTCAGAAGGAAACTGAAGCTGAAAAATGTTTTGTCAGGTGCTCAAATTCTTTGAAATATGGAAACATTCAAATAAGTTTTGTTGAAAAGAGACACAAAAAAAAAGAACCTCAGCTATCAAGTACTAATTGTTTAAAAAAATGGTGGATAATTTTGTTTGTCTTTTATAAAAAATTTTTATGTGTATTTGAGTTGGAGCTAAAACCTACATGTGGACTCCAGGGTTGATGGAAGTCTTGTCCACTACTTTGTCGAACTCTGTCAAAATGTCTTCAAGGGAACCATCATCTCCAAAGCCTCCCCACTCCGTGTTAATACACATCCTTCCATCCTCACCCTCCACACGTTTCACATTTTTCATCTCCTCCATATAGCAGGCATTGGTTCCTGTTCCTGTGGACGAAGAGGAGTTGTTTACCAAACAAAGCAATGGAAATTAGATTTCTGAGAATAATGTTTTTGTTTTTTCTGAATTCTGTTGGCTTAATACATGACAATCAATTTGCACTTATTTCTTTATACTTGGTTTGTTTTTTCTAGTCATTTTGTGTTCATTAGTGACTTAGAAGTGATGATGCCTTATTGGGCATTAATTGCATCAGCAAAGTGGTAATTTCATAGAGCTTTAGTACCACCACCTGTTGGCCAAGTGCATAATCAGTGCATAATCAGTAAGCAATATAATCTGCGGTGTTTGTGTGTTGTTAGGTTAATCAGCTTCTCTAAATTATCCCTAGGTTTGAGTGTGTGTGTGTGAATGGTTGATGGAATGGCTACCTGTCCAGAGTGCTGCAGAGTGCGCTTTATCCCAGCTGGGATAAAGCGTGTAAGAAAATGGATGGATGGATGGATGGATGGATGGATGGATGGATGGATGGATGGATGGATGGATTTCTATCCTTTAGCTCCTAGAAATTATCATCAATATGTAATGCCTTTTCCTTTCTCTTATGATTATAGGCTGTATACAGTACATTTTTGAACATGTGTAAATTTTAAATGTAAAATCAAATGATAGGGAATGCTTTGTATGTTTTTCTGTGGAACATGGCAGAGGGCACTCAACATCGGCGTCGCCAGACCCCATTTACTGGGGCACGTGCCCCAGTATAAATGAGATGTGCCCCAGTATAAATCTCATGAATATTTGCAACAGTATTACATTTTTTTAATGCATCAATTTAGATATTTCCAACGGAAGGAGACGTATATTTCTACTCAAATGCGCAGCAAGTGTGTTGGTAACTCCAAATTGAGGATGTATTAGCGCCCCGACGTCAGCGCATGTCACTGCATGAACTGCAGGTAAATTAACACGCTGCTCTCAACTGAGTTGGATGGGACACTGTGCGGCGGCGACGCATTTTTTAGTTTAGTTTCTTACCTGTCAATTTTATTATTTTCCCAGTGAAACCACATGATTTATAGGCTACTAACTAAAAATTACTGCATTGGTTTGTAGATGGATATCAGGAAATTCCTCACACGACGCAGAGACAGGGAAGCAGTAAAACAAGATGAGAGAGAGAGAGGTAAGGTCCCGTAATGAATTAGTGATTTAAGCTAACTAGTTACATTAGCAACGTTATAAGTAATATGATAGATATTTACATAATTATAAATTTGCGTTTTTTTTTATGTTTGCTGTAGAGAATGAGAATGCAGGTGCTGGAGTAGGAAAGGGAGGAGGAGGCGAGACTGACAGGCAAGAGACAGGTGAAGGACAGGAGAGACAGGACCATGAAGGTGATGAGGATGCAACAACCAGCTTCCACAAACAAGAAGGGGACATTAGTGACTTAGGGGGAAAGCATGATGGTCCTAAACAAGTGAAGTTGTCCCACAATCCCCAGCACAAATTTGGAGTAAAAAAAACGTTAATTTAATTCAAAATGGTTTGAGCTTTTCCTGGTTAAAAAAGAAAGCCTTATCATCAAGGATATGCAGTGTGTTTTCAACTTGCTTGATAACACCATGTTCCCCACACTAACGCAGGTCATCCAGATCTCCATCACAATCCCAGTCTACAGCTGGAGTTGTGAAAGGTCATTCAGTGTGTTGAGAAGGATCCACACTTGGCTGAGGTGCACAATGGGACAAGACAGGCTCCATTATGTTGCTATTTTATCAGTTGAAAAGGAAGAACTTTCTAAGCTGAGTCACAAGTGATTGACCACTTTGCAAAAATGATAAATAGGAGGTACACTTTAATGCTCAAAAAATAAAAGGAAAACTTAGCTCAGGATGAGTTAAAATTTCCCCCGAACTAAAACTCTGTAACCTAGGAATTAATGATTACTTCAGAATGTGTATAAGGAAACTTTTTATATGTCAAAGTTGTTGATGTCTTATTTTTTATAGCTGCAATGTTGAAAATGTTCATGTTTGTTAAAACAAATATGCTCTTATACTCATTATCTCAACTGGTAATTTTGGTAGGAATGTATCAGGGTTGGGCAGTGTGCTTGTCTGTATTTATGTATAGAAGGAGGGGCGTATGCACTAGGGGGCCGGTGCCCCAGTAAAGCTTTGTGCCTAGCAACGCCCCTGGCACTCAACAAGTTTTTGGTTGTAATCAGTTATTTTTAAACTATTTCTCCAGTCTTAGAAAGACCAGTTAAACATAAAACCAGAACCAATTGAAAGACTTTTGTTAGTAAGAGGCTGTCTGCAGATGTTCCCCATTTTAAAAGAAGAGAAGAATTTTCATAATGTTCAATTAAAGTTTTAAATATCTACAGCTATTAGAGATATACCCAAGAAGCTGCGGTACAACAGAAAGTTAGTTTTCAGATGTATCATAATCTAGCAATAATCTAACACCAGAGCCACTCCGTTCATTGAATATGAGACAAAACAGTAACAGAGTCTCCAGAGGCTGTATAAACTGTGAATGCAGGATTCTAAACTGCAGGAAGTCATTTGGCCATTTCAGCTTTTCTTTCTATGGTCCAAAGTTGTGGAACATTTAGCCAAACAAGCTGAGGTCTATATCTGAGTTCAGTGTGTTTATTGTTAATCTAAAATTCTGTCTTAAAAGTCACTGTCCCCATTTGTGAAAAAACACCGTGAGAGAGGGACTTTTTAGTGTGTATTTGCCTTAGTCGATGTGGCCAAGTTTTTATTACGTGCTGGGGACAGTTTCCTAAGAATATGTTAAATTTTTCTGGACTTATAGGTACTTGTAGGAACCAACAACTGGTCCCCAGGAGGAGAAGTTCTCCTCTTAGGGTGGGGGTTAGGTTCAGGTCTAGGGTGAGAATGGAGTTTAGGTTATTTTCAGGTTTAGGCATATGTTGGTTATGGTTATGGGTAGGTCAGGGTAAGGGTTGAACAGAAGTCAATTGAAAGTCCCCACAATGATAGCATGACGCAGCATGTGTGTGTGCATGTATGAATGTCCTGTTTGGGGTCGAAAGTCTTTAATATAATAATATAATAATATTTTAATCTATAGGTGATTTAAAAAAAATAGCATTAGCCCTAAACACTTTGTGCATCTTACCATCAGCGTCTGTTAATGTCTGGTACTATGTTGTCCCTTTTAAATAAATAAATAATATAAAAATAAAACTTTAAATCATGATTACCATGATGTATTACCATTATGCAATTTTATTGTCTTTTACTGAGCAAATTACTCATGTTCGCTTTTATTATATTATTATTTATTGAATTTTTTTCCAAAATGTTTTAATCTTATTCTATTTTTTGTTTTTTATTGTCTTATAATGAAATTTCTATAGCAGTGTTCTTATGTGTGAATGCAGTGTGACACACAGTTTGGACTATGTAACAGCCAGAGTCTGTACCCAAATTAAATTTCCTTTGGGACAATAAAGTTCTAAACCTAAAATCTTTTATTGTGGACTTTAATTTTCTATTTTCACATTTATTTTCTTTCTCTTAGATCAATAAGCGTATATGTGGACAAATCCAGGTTTATGCAATGTTTCATTCACACTTTTACTTTACCGATGATCATCCCAATCTCGCAGCTCTGATCCCTGTACCCACAGCTCATCATCGTGCCCACTGTATCATTCACCATAGCAACCGAGCCAATGTTATAGTCCTGTAAAGACAATGTTGTTCATTGTGATGAATTGAGATCTGTATTATAAAGAGAAGTTTTAAACTTGTGAAATGTAGAAAATTAGTATAATGAGCAACTATTTTTTTAAGATCAGGTAATGGAATATTTAGGGATTAGTAAGGATTATTCACCCACCCCTTTCTTACGGATGGCGTCTTTCAGTAGTTTTACCACATCCTCCCCCTCCACCCCGGAGCAGTTGAAACCTTTAGTCCAGCGGATCAGGATGCTCTGGTCACACAAAGGCAAACATTTTGTATTACAAGTAAAATCAGTCTTCATTTGAGTGAATAGTGGTAAACCTCTGAGTTGTATTTGTGTATTAATAAAAACCTTGTCAATTTCTTTTTGTTCACAGGGAAAAGAGAAGGTAAAACCCAATGGAAGAGTCTTTCCTTTTAGTTTCTGAGAGCCGAGAAATTCACCAAGACAGGCTGCGATGTGGTCAAAAAGCTGAAAAGATACACACACACAACAAATATATTGTTTAAAGGCCAACAAACACTCAGCAAATGCAGAGTTTTTTTTTAAAATCTGAAAATGAGGACTTTCCAGTTTTGCAGTTGTGTTTTTTTTTTATTTAGCCAGAAAGAACCCGTTATTGTTTTTGCAACAAGTAAAAACCTAATTTCACGTTTATTTAGTATTATTAATTAATCTTAGAATTTAGAAACAGATTTTAGGCTTGAAAATCAAACACTTAATCATATTTACATATATGCTGGTGAAGATTCTCAGTCATCAAGGTCATAGTCATTCCAAAAAAAAAAGAAAATTAAAAACAATCCACTGGACTTTTTTTCCCGAGGTTAAAGACGTTCTGCTTCCCATCCAGGAAGCTTTTTCAATTCAAAATATCAGGAATAGCTTTGAGATCGAGGTTATATACAGTAGCACAACAAGGCCTTGTTTTTGTTTTGAAAAAATGCATAAATAATGTTTTCATCCAATGGGAAAGAAACCGACTTCAAACTTGGAAACAAAGCCCAGTGAATTGCTTTTAATTTTCTTTTTTTTTTTGGAATCTTAAGTGCACACAATCTGTAATTAAATGTGAGTTTCATTTTATTTAGAGATCATTTTATTTTATCATTTAGAATTTAAATTTAACTAAGAATTTCCAAATAGATAAATTTATTTTTTATTTCATGTTTGAATTTTATCTCTTGTTTCTGGTCATAGGTTCTTGCTCTGGCATGAAATTAGTATTCAGATCATCTTTGAAGCCAGTTGTTACTGATCAGCTGCCTGGCATCTCAGCTTGTTACAGGAATGATAGGAGCAGATCCTTATATTACAAAGGGTCCCTTTAAACCCCAGAAATTAGTTGCTGTAAATGTATTCTCAATACATACAAATTGTTCAATGGCAGAGTTCTGGCCTAGGTGAAAACAATCTTTTCAAATTTTTAATATGTCTGAGCCTACACACAAGCTCACTGAGTACCACTGAGCAGATGTGAGCAATGAGGCCCACACACCAATATTAAACTTATTATAACTTATAAGTAAAGCAGTTTACATTGTTTTTTTTAGAAGAAATAGATTACAAAAGCAATTTCCTTTAGTTTACTTTAAATTAAAATTATTTGGCCCACTAAAAAAACAAAACAAATCGTTAATCGTGACATGTGTAGTATGTTAGTATGTATTAGTCCTGCTTTGGTCAGGGTGAGGGTCCTGTTCTGAAAGAAAAAAGAAAAATAATTTTCATTATAAAACTAGTGATATTTAAAACTGGGATTTAAGAGTAGATTGTGCAAATAATAGCTGAGTTTTAGTAAAGCTGATCTGCACATCCAGCGTTCAGCAGGCTGAATTCATATATAAAGGCGGTCATAAAGACGAGATGCTATAACAGCCCAAAACGAAATAAAAATAAGATTATGTTATTCTCTATTAATTTGTTTTTTAATATATTCACTTTAGTGTGTCAGGCAAACATAATGGTTCTCCTTTTCTCTATTTGGGGGAATAACTGTTGTTTCTCATATTTTTGTTGTTGGATTTATGCTCAAGCAGTGCGCAATTGCACAAGCGCGCAGCTTAGAGGCAACATTGGCTGAGAGACTCACTAATTGTTCACCACATCAAATAGAGCCCACTTCTCATCCACAGGATTTTTAAAGTGGAATCAGGAGGCAGAGATTTTTAATTTCTCTTATTTCACTGTAGTTGAACTTTGAATTCCAACTGACCCACATTTGGATAGTTTTTTTTATAATCTTTATAAAGTTTTACCTTGTTTAGTACTTGAACTTCGCTTGTGTTTAAAAATGCAGATACTGTATGAATAAAGCTGAGGTGGGGAAATGGGTTACCTTTTCTCCGCTTCCCAACATGATTTCCTGAGGAATGGCGCAGATCTGACTGTCCATCTTTAGCATCCTCTGCTCCTCCTCCACCACTCTGACATGAAGCACCCTGAAGTTTGTTCCACCCAAATCTAGAGCCAGAAAGTCTCCTTTCTCTGCATGAAGGAAGAAATGTATTGCCCACGGTTTGTTTTAAAACATGTTCAACCCTATTCTCTAGAGGACCTACACAACTTGAATATTTTGGTATTGGACTTGAAAAAGACTATTTCATAAAAGTTTTTTTCAAGCTGGAATAAATAGAGAAAAAAAGACTATGGTAAGATATTTACATTCCAGGCTTGCTTCTCTATTTCGTTCTTTAAAGGTATTGTGAAGGATGTTGTTTGTGGATCATCAAAATAAGTGGTTCTCCTAATTGTCAAACACTGATAAATAGGAGTCTGACAGTCTGACATGGTGGAAAAATTGCAAATCTTGTTTTGGAAAGTAAGCTTGTATGAGCGATGCAAACAGCAGCTTTTAAACAGAGCGTGCAGGAGGTGAAATGGGCTCTTGCAGGATTTGCATGCGTTTAATAGGCGTTCCCTCTCGGGAGCGGGTACAGGGTTGTGCATGTGCTTTTCTTTTATATCTATATGGAGAGGGCGTTTCTTTTCAAAGATTTATGAAAATCTTCCACTATACCTTTAAGTTTTATGCCTTTTACTGTCATTTACTTTGTTTGATGTGTCCTTCCTTTTTTCCTCTTTCACATTTTCCTTAAATTGTTCTTTGTGTTTTGTTTTCTATTCCTATATTGTTTTCTTTCTTCCCCTCTTCCTTATTTTATTGTCTCTCTTCTTCCTGTTGTTTTTTCCATATGCTTGAAGTTCTTTCTTTCCATCCACATGACCAAACTACCCATTTCTGTCATCTTGTAAAACTACTGTACTTTCTTTCCATATTGATGTCTCCTCCTCTTCCAAAGTTTTAATTTTAAAATCCTACAATGACTCTAATGAGCTGAGAAATCTGTAACACTTAGTGAAGAACAACCTGGAACACTTAATAAATGTGTGGAGAGGCTTTCTTTCCTTTAATGGAAAAGGTGAAATAATTAAGACTCGGCTCAGAAATCATACCTTTCCCATCTGGCGTTTCCCTTACAAAGGTGGGAAGCATCTTGACAGACGCCCTGTTATGTGTGTGTTTCCCCAGACCTCGGATCATATCCTTTTTGAGTCGAGCCGAAATTTCCCGCAGTTTCTCCAGAGACAGACGGAAAGGTTCCAGGTACTTTAACACCTGCACAGATATACAAACATACAATCAACCTATTAAAACGCCTCGTATTATGCAACATTAGCAAAAATCTCTTTACCAAACTGCTGAGTAAATTACAAATATCACAATAACACAATAATAGTGTTAAGAAAGAAATTAGGCAAATCCACCAGTTACCCAGTAGATGGCGAGAATGCTCTTCCTCAGAAACAACCTAATTTGGCATGAGGCAATTGCTGAATGACATCATTGCTCCTGCCTTACATTCCTGGCCTGTTGTGCATGTTCCAGAACTGAATACTCAAAACTTCTGTCTAGAAGAATTTTCATTATAGTGTGTGCTAGGCAACCGTTAAGCTTTGGAAGTACCATTTAATATCAGTAAAAACATATTTCTGTTTGTAGTAGTTAGTAGGAGTGTATAATTTTATAGAAAACAACTTTAAATGCATCCATCAAATTTAGTGTTGGGTCAGTTGACATAGTTTTGTTCCAGTACGAATGATTTATTGTATTAGCTTTAAAATGCATCTGAAAAGGTCCTATCAGATCAGGAAGAAACATTAAGAACAGATTAAAGAAGCTTAAGGCAGTGGAAAAACAAAGAGGACTGGCCCTAGGAACCGGAAGAAACCATCAGAATCAAACGTCAATTGCTCTTTCTACCAAAGCATCATTAATGTTAACATCATAAAGAATAATTATCCAGATAATTAAAAATTTTTTTATCATAATGACATTAAATTAAATTTAATGACAGAAATGTAATTTAAGCTGGCTACATCATGCAACAAGCTAGTTGTTGCTTGATAAAAAAGAAGACAGCCGGAAGGAAGATTAGTTGTTGATTGTTTTCAGCAAATAGGGCTGCAGATCCAGTCATTATTTGGATAAATTTTCCTTCATTATCTTATTTCACTGTCAAATATTCAATTTCATTGCCAGATTTGATAATTGTGTCTTATTTATACAAGCAGCTATTTTGTTTTGTTCATTTATTTAATTTTACACACTTTGGCATTCCTTCCCAAAGAAGACCTAGTCTAAATCAAATCTTGTTTATGTTTTGGTTAATTTGTAATGTAGATACAAGGGAATGAGGAGTTACAGCTGTTGTTCTGTTACCTTCATCAGTACAGGGTCGATCCTGTAAGTATGTTTGGTTTCCAAATATTTCATATTACTCACTTTGGCAGTTCAGGACTGCAGATGGTACAGTCATAAGATTTCCTTTTTCCTCAGCCATGATTTTAGGAATTCATGCACTTCTTAATATAACCTAATAGTGAAATGCAAAAGTTTAAACTGAGTATAAAAAGGGATAAGAAAGAGGTTTAGGTGACTTTGAATGTGGGGCAACTCTTGTTAAGAGACCCAAAGCTTCTGATCCACTGAAATGTTGATGTAGAGTAAAAACCACACTAGGTCTGAAATGATGCATTCCAAAAATAAAGAAATAACCAAGGAGCAGTAACTGGCATTCAAGAGCAGAGGAGAATGCTAAGACTAGTTCAAAATGAAAAAAAAAAAAAAAGCAATACAGCCAATCCTTATAATCACAGCTGCTGAATATTGTCTCAGAACCTAAAACAAGTCAAAGCTTGAAGCATGTAAGCTTAAACAGCAAAAGACCACACCTGACACCTCTACTCTCAGCTAGGAAAAGGGAAATAAGTTCATACAGGCATAGAAAAATGAGACAGTACCATACAGTAAAAACTGTGAAGTTTTTTTTTTTTCAATTAAACATGTACAGCAGAACACATTTTATCTTTAATCAAAGAGTTAGGTTATTGATGGGGGTCGGATGATATAAGGAGAAGCTTCCCTGTTAAATATGAGGACTATTAATGCCAATTAAGCATTGTTTAAAATTAAAGGAGAATTCCGGTTTTTAACACTTTTAGCCCATTTTCTGTAGTGTCCAGGATGAAATCGAATGATCGACACCAAAATTTTGACAATTGGTCCTGTCTCTGCTTTTTGGCTCATGCAGAATCCCCCCCTGGCTGCTTCAGAATGGCTTCCATAGTGCATGTCCGATAATGTCCTTAAAACAACCTTAAACGTTCTTTTTTTAAAATATGCTACTCACCGGGTCGTCAGCGCTGTTCAATGACGTTGCAAAAAAAGTTTCGTAAAGAAAAAACGTTCCTGTAGTGTTTTATTTAGCATTTTGTAAATCCCATTGAGTTCTGTTGGAATAGTCAATATTCCCCTGCCACCGGAAACGGAAATGGGGCCTGTTTACACAGTTGTAGTCTTTTCGCTTCACTCTGTGTACTCCGACGTCGAGGTGCTAACGTCTCTGTTAAACACTTTAAAAAACTCTGAAAATGGAATACTAAAGGTGGATTCTTGATTCTCGACGTCGGAGTACACAGAGTGAAGCGAAAAGACTACAACTGTGTAAACAGGCTCCATTTCCGTTTCCGGTGGCAGCGGAATATTGACTATTCCAACAGAACTCAATGGGATTTACAAAATGCTAAATAAAACACTACAGGAACGTTTTTTCTTTACGAAACTTTTTTCGGAACGTCATTGAACAGCGCTGACGACCCGGTGAGTAGCATATTTAAAAAAAAGAACGTTTAAGGTTGTTTTAAGGACATTATCGGACATGCACTATGGAAGCCATTCTGAAGCAGCCAGGGGTGGATTCTAAATGAGCCAAAAAGCAGAGACAGGAGCAATTGTCAAAATTTTGGTGTCGATCATTCAATTTCATCCTGGACACTACAGAAAATGGGCTAAAAGTGTTAAAAACCGGAATTCTCCTTTAAGGTTCGGTGATTATGTTGACCTATTTACCACCATCTTAAGATGGATATTTCTAGCAAGATAATGTACCATGTCACAAAGTATAAATAATCCCTATCTGGTTTATAGAACTCAATGACAGCATTCTACTCCAATCGCCTCAACAGTCAGCAGATCTCATCTCATCGTTGGGATGTGGTGTGAAAGAGGAAATGGGTGTTTTTGGATTTATGGAGAAAAACCTCATGAGGCTGTCACATTAATATCAATCAAGATCTATGAGCAATGTTTTAACATCTTGATAAATCGACACCATCGAGGACTAAAGCAGTGCTGAAGGCAATCAGAGAAATATTTTTAACTTTTATTTGCAGGGAAGCAGGTTCTAGTTGAGCTGAGGGTCAAATATATCAATATGCATACATCACTGTTACTTTTATATGCATATTTTAGTATTATTTTGGAGAAAATTTTAGATCATGTTTTATTTCCACTTGTAATAATTTGTTTTTCAGCAGCCCGAGCTCAGTAGAAGTTTAATTGTCTGAACTTTTAGTGAAATACTTTAGAGATGGCATGTGCAGGAAGAGGGCCTGGCTGGCTAAGTAAATTTAATGATCCTCTGGAGAAGGCAGCAACAATTCACACGTCTCTTCCTGTTTTTAACATATCCGTTCATACTGGAAAGTCACATCATTTAGTTATATTAAACCTGCCTATAAACATGTAAAAGTATAGCAGAGGAGATGGGACTGAGGTGAACAGAGGGAAATTTGTTGAGGCTTGAATTTTAAAGGAAGATCACCTTCTACTCCTGTTGATGTGGAACTAGGCAGCTACTAGTCCCACATCAACATGACAGGAAAAAGCCTGACTGCTTCTTTGTTTCCACTTCACTACCAAAACTTAAATGATAATGCCCTTTGACATATAGTACTGAGCAAAAATCCCAATGTCATATATTTTTTTTTTTTGTCTTTGTAATTTTTTATTTAGTACCTTTGTGACAAACTAGACAAATTGAGGAACAAAATATCAAGTTTAAAAGAGTCCTGTGCAGATGGAAATAATCTAAAGAAATCTTTCTATTCATTTCTATTTTATTGAATTTTTGTATTCATCTTTATGCTTAATGTTATCGTGTAATGAGAATGTAATATGAAGCTTTGAACTGACTGCTGGGACATTTAAATGCATAATTGTATACTGACTTTTTAGTTTTTCTCACCTCAGTTCATTAAACATCCACATCTGGTTTTGACAGAAACTTGTGGAAATCTGAGGGGGGAAAAAATTGAAACTATGGTGGAGAATGGAGCACAAAAAAAACTTTATTATTGTAATAACTCAAATATAGACTTTTTTTGTCCAACCAGCAAAGAAACTTTAATCAACAATATTATTTTAAAGCCAGTTTCCCTGATAACTAAAAGATTTCTCTGCTTTATATAAAAATATAAAGTACAACTGGGAATTTTGCAAATCTGCATCCCGACCTAAACCTCTGGACAAAATATTGCATGTCTGCAGAGAAATATGACACTTTAGTACATAGATTATCTACTTTAATCTTAACAGTAATCAGTCTCTGGCAGACAGGTTTATTTGGATTCAATGGCACATTAATTACTTTGTTAAGGTAAGTATTATTATCTACACTCACCGGCCACTTTATTAGGTACCCCATGCTAGTAACGGATTGGACCCCCTTTTGCCTTCAGAACTGCCTCAATTCTTCGTGGCATAGATTCAACAAGGTGCTGGAAGCATTCCTCAGGGAGTTTGGTCCATATTGACATGATGGCATCACACAGTTGCCGCAGATTTGTCGGCTGCACATCCATGATGCGAATCTCCCGTTCCACCACATCCCAAAGATGCTCTATTGGATTGAGATCTGGTGACTGTGGAGGCCATTTGAGTACAGTGAACTCATTGTCATGTTCAAGAAACCAGTCTGAGATGATTCCAGCTTTATGACATGGCGCATTATCCTGCTGAAAGTAGCCATCAGAAGTTGGGTACATGGTGGTCATAAAGGGATGGACATGGTCAGCAACAATACTCAGGTAGGCTGTGGTGTTGCAACAATGCTCAATTGGTACCAAGTGGCTCAAAGTGTGCCAAGAAAATATTCCCCACAGCATGACACCACCACCACCAGCCTGAACCGTTGATACAAGGCAGGATGGATCCATGCTTTCATGTTGTAGATGCCAAATTCTGACCCTACCATCCGAATGTCGCAGCAGAAATCG